GTTGCGGGTCGTGCTTTGACGACACAGTGAGGTGACTGGGCAAGGCTCTGACCCAACGGGCCATTAAGCTCCTGCTTAGACTCTGAGCTTTCTCATCTTGGCCCTGAGCCACCTCTGGTCACCACGCCGTCACTTTGGAGGATGGTGACGGTCTAAGGAATCTGTGCTGGACCTGCTTGACCATGATGGGACCCTGGGTGGGAATCTCATGTGGAGGATGGGCTCCTCCTGGGTCAGGGGGCCCTCGTGCCATGACCGTGTCCTCCCAAGGGACAGAGGAGGGGACACAGATGCAGAGGAGGAGCCCCGTGGGGACGGAGGCAGAGACTGCAGTGAGGGGTCCCCCGCCCAGGGCCACCTGGAGCCCAGGAGCTGGAGAGGCAGGAGGAGCCCCTGGAGCCCTGGAGGGGGCTGGACACCATGGTGGAGGCGGGTCCTGTCCACCCCTGGACCCAGGACCTGGTGAGGAGGGCGCTGTGTCCAGTCGTAGCAGATCTGATGCTGGTTCTCCCCAAACTCCATTCCACATGAATCCCCAGACCTCGGCACAGGACCTAGTTTGGAGGTGGCAGTGGCCGCCCACCCGCTGTCCACCATGAGGCCATCTTTTCCATGGACCCCGAAGCACAGGTAGCCCCCAGACCTGGGGATGAAACCCTCCCACCCCTGAGCTGCCGGGATCCTCTCGTCCTTGGGGGTCGGTGTCCCGGGGGTGACCGTGACGGCGCTCGGAGACCCACGCAGAGCCGCGGGAGGGCCATTGCTCTGCCGCGGAGCTGGCCCCTCACTCCCTTACCCTCGTCTTCAGGTTTTTGTTGTGTTGTTCTTGTTGTTCCCCACGTCACTCCGTCGTCATTCATGTTTACTGAGAAGAACTCGGGTGTTGGGTTGAGAGAGTCACGCGTCACATCCCGACCCAGTGGGGACACTCCGTGCGTCTGTCACCTGTCGCGCTTCACCGTCGCGGTGGGGAAGGAACGTGCCACCGTCTCTCGGCCAGCTCTTTTGAACTCTGCAGCAGCCGAGTGCGTCGGAAGGACGCAGATCCAGGACGATGCAGCTGGCGTCCTTTGTTAAACCTGTGCCTCTGGGAAGTCACCTTTGAGATCTCTGTCCCCTCCTCTGTCCCTTGGGAGGACACGGCCATGGCACGAGGGCCCCCTGACCCAGGAGGAGCCCATCTCAGGACCCTCCACTAGTGACCTCTGCAGAGACCCTGTTCCCACACCAGGTCCCACTCCCAGGTCCTGGGGTCCAGCTGTGGACAGCACCCGCCCCTTACCACGGCGTCCAGCTTTTCCTTCACGGTGCGCAGAACAGCCTCCGGGGCAAGACGTGGCGGGAGCAGGTCTTCATTCCAATCCCCGCCTCCAGAAACTCTTCGCGCAGAGGGGCTGAGAACCAGCCGTCACTGGACACTGGAGCGTAGGTGTGGGTGGAGGGATGGGCGAACCAGACCCAGGGAGGTGCCCACCTGTAATGCCGGCCCCTCGGGAGGCTGAGGCAGGAGGATGGCAAGTGGGAGGCCAGCCTCGACCACTTAGCAACTTAGTGAGATCCTGCGTCAAAATAAGATATAAAAAGGGCTGGGGACGGGGGCTCCGTGGTGAAGTCCCCCCTGGGTTCCATTCCTAGCCAGGTGACACCTCCAAGTGGGATGTGGTCACCAGGGCTCTGCGTCCAGAAATGGATGAATCCATTCACGTTGTGACAAGTTCATGGATAGATGGCCCCCTCCAGGGACAGACTTTGCCATAAATAGGGGCAGGACCGAGGCTGCAGAGTTTGGTGACAGCCTCCAAAGACTGACGGAGAGGCCACAAGGAAGAGCGGATGGTCCCAGGGAGGCGGTGAGTTCTCCGGTTCCCAGGGTGCCGTGAGAATATTTAAGATCCCGGGAGATTTAGGGTGTTTCGAGATCCTCTCCATATTGGAAAAGTCCAACGTCAACAGGAGATGGCGTCCATCTGGACCTATTCCGGAAGTTTACGTAAGGAGAGGAAGTAGACAGGGATCCAAAGGGAAATTCCCGAGTAGCTGGGATGACAGGCAGCACCACCGCGCCCATCTAGTACTGAGTCTTTGAATGGACCTGGATGGAGCCGCCATATGCATTAAGTAGTACTGAGTCTTTGAGTGGATCTGGGATGGAACCGCCATATGCATTAAGTAGTACTGAGTCTTTGAATGAACCTAGGATGGAGCCACCATGTGCTTTGAATGGTACTGAGTCTTTGAATGGACCTGGGATGGAGCC